TGCTAAGAGTGAACAAATGAATCAGAATAATTTACTGTACTAGAGAAAACATTTCCATTTGAAAGAGCTAATCATTCATTACTTACGTAAATGTACTTTAGAAAGGAGCATATATTATCTTCTCCTTATGTATTCCTGATATGTCTCCTTATTATATCACTCAATAACCATTTGATTTTCATATATAAAATGAAGTACTTTAGGTTTCCTCATTGTAAGTTCGAATCACCCCATTCCAGTTGGAAGGACTCCATCAGTCATTGAACACGACCAACCTTTTGAATCTTGAAAGTTGATACTGTTCTAAAAAAGCACTGAATGCTACCCTCACAACTTCATTAGATCACAGTCCTATCTGTTAGCTTCTTGAGGGCAGTGTCTCTACATGATTCATATTTTTATCCCTCAGAATATCTTATACCAACTCAGCAAATATAGAGAGCACAGATTTCTTTTTAAAAGTAGAAGACACAGTCATTTTGGCAAAACTTAAAGCAGTTTACGTCTGTCACACACCCTGCGATAGATGTCAATGATGCTTTTCCAAAAACAAAGAATTCTGATGTGGTCCAGGGTGCTGAAATGGAGACCTAGTATGGGAAGGGGCCCAGCAGCAGATGGAAAAGGTATGACAATGTGCCTCTTGCTATAAGGGTAGACTCCAAACCCCAAAGGGCAAAACACAACCTGAAATCATGTAGATGACTATATAACTCTGTCAAATATGGCCCTCCCCAGCCCCGTTTCAGCAATAGGAATAATAAGAGCATCATTTCTTACACTTTTGTTTGTAATGGAAAACAATGGGAAAATAGGCCTTTCTTTACAAAATCTCATATTATAGAACACTGTTTGTAACCAAATAGGCTGCAATGGCATTCTCATCCTGAAGGCTATGGGCCCTTGTATTGGAAATGCCACTTGCTGGGTGGTGAGTACTTGGAATTTCCGCAGAAGCTTCCCTCCAAAGAGTATTTCTGATGCTCTTACTCAACTTTCAACTTTTCTGTAGGTTTGAAATTTTTATAATGAACGGTTAGGGGGGAAAGGCAATATCCCTCTCCTCACTACCCCAGAGTAATTACTGCCACTGGCATTTGGAATAACATTTCCCCCTCTTTCGCGGCTACGATTGCAAGCATCTCTCAGTATCTCCCTGTGTGAGGTAAGATAAGTATTCTGTCATCTTCTATTAATAGGGAGAAATTCTGAGTCACAGGAGGGCTAAGTGATTTTTCTAGCTGCAGAAATAGGAGGAATAAAACTAAGCAGGTTGATGAATACATTATTTTAGGAAGAGGACGATTGTGGTGGCACTGCATCCTTTTTCTGGACAATTGCAATCGCTTCCTAATTGGTTTTCCTGCCCCCAGTTTCTCTCTCCCTTCCAGTCTACTCGCCCCCTTTGTTACAGAATTATATCCTGAAATCATGTCACACCCCTGTATAAATATCTATGATGACTTCACCTAAAGAAAAATTCAAAACTTCTTATCATGACATCCAAAGCCCATTTCCATCTGGCACTACACTACCTTTCCCAGGTTCTCTGCCAATCTTTGCCTTCCATACCATTCACCTGCACTGCACTGGTCACACATGCCCATTCCTCCAAACCTCAGCTCGGGTCATCTTTCTGTCTTGCCCAGAGTGCCAGTCTTCTCCTATCCCACTGGAAGGGGGACAGTGAGAAATCTGCTCCCTGGGGAATCTAACTCAGATGCTGCCTCCGCTGGGATGCTTCCCAGCACCCCACCTCTACCTTCCACCTCCCACCCTAAGGTAGATGAACCGTTTCCTCTTCTTGTTCCCATAGCACTTCCTTTCTACTGCAATGACCACATTTATTACATCACATTCTAGCTACCTGGGCACGTCTAACCTCCCCAATTAGACTTATTTGTGTGTATGTGTGACAGCAGGGCCTGAATCTCACTCATTTTCATAAGCCCCAGCAGTCATTTCAGTTTTAGACACACAATGGGTGCTCAATAAACACATGATGCTGCTACCAAGATACCTTCTTCTGTTCTTTGTAATCTCCCAACTGCTTTGTGACAGGTTTCACCAGTAAATAACTCAGAGTGCATACTCGTTCAAGAGTTGCATTTATAAGGGCAAGCAGATTAGGTATGCCTGACACAGCATTTTCCTGTTAAGAAGTTCTGATGCTTGTGCCTAAAGAATACTATTTGCCTCATCTTTCCAGTTACTTCAAGAACATTTCTACAATTGCTGAACAGAGTGGATGGGTGAGGAATCTGACTATCTGGGATGTCACCTGAAGCTTCTCAAAGCTTGGTCCACCTGTATAAGACACTTCTGGCTGCTGGACTACAATATAGTTGCCTGAGCCCATCCCTAGGTCTTCTGAATCAGAGTTCCTGTCGTGGAGGCCAGGATATGGACTGAGAAAGGAAGTAGAAACTTCCTTTTCTGAAGTATCCAGGTGTTTCTAAACATTTCATTTCTAGACCTACTGGTCTGGGTGGGAAGCTCTTGGGCTCACTGGAAACCTCTGCCTAGTCAAGAGACTGTTGGGGGATGATTGTCGTGAATGCTTCTAAGCCAGTTGTTAGTCCAGGCCACATATCAGAATTCTCTGGACAGCTTTTGGAAAATACCAATGCCAAGATCCACCTTACCTCAATTAAATCAGAATTACTGGTTATGGGACTTGGGCACCTATATTTCTTTAAAAAGCTTTTCTTTTAAGTCAGTTTGGCTGTAGAGTAGTTGTCAGATTCTTTTGATCAAAATCAGGGGTTAGTCGTTAGAGGCTCCAGATTTAGGTTACATTCCACACCACACTCCATCTCACTCTCACTATAAATGTAAATTTCACAGCAAATTTAACTAGATTAAAAAATATGCTTTAGCAGTAGGTACAGTCATACAAAATGGAAAAAAGTCCTTCTCTCTGCCATAAGTCCTCTAATTAACAGCACATTGCATGAAAGGGCCACACTGAAGGCAGTAATGTTCTAAAGGTGAACCTGCAGGTCGTCATCTCATGAGGGCAGGATCCTAGGCTCAGTGCTGGAAGCCACACCATGACACAGACAGTTGAGCTGTCTGCTCTCTTGTACCTTGGTCATGCAAGGTCCATGGGTCCTGCCACACCTCCTCTACCACATATTGTAAGTGCACCAATTTCAAGAACAGAAATAATTTGTTTTTAGGCCAGGCGCGGTGGCTCAGGCCTGTAATCTCAGCACTTTGGGAGGCCAAGGTGGGCGGATAACCTGAGGTCAGGAGTCCGAGACCAGCCTGACCAACATGGAGAAACCCCGTCTCTACTAAAAATACAAAATTAGCCAGGCACGGTGGCAGGTGCCTGTAATCCCAGCTACTCAGGAGGTTGAGGCAGGAGAATGGCTTGAACCCGGGAGGCGGAGGTTTTGGTGAGCTGAGATCGCGCCATTGCACTTCAGCCTGGGCAACAAGAGTGAGACTCCGTCCCCAGAAAAGAAAAAAAAAGAAAAAAAGAAAGAAAAAAAAATTTGCTTTTAATATCCTTTATACAAAATTTTTAAAACCCTCAGGTCATCAAGTGGATTCACATTAAAGAATGCCAGCTAATTATTTCTGCCTAAAGCATTGGAATCCTACAGCTGGTTACACTGAATTACTTAAATTATTGGAGCATTGGGATAGCTGAGTTCATGGAGGTTCCTGGAGTGTGGTGCACCTGGAAAGGGCATGGAAACAGAAGCCCCTTCCCACATGCCTTGCCCTACACATCTCTTCATCTGTATCCTTTATAGTAGCTTTTATAATAAACTGGTAAATGGGAAAATCCCTTTGGCCTTTAAATTGAAATGGAAAATAGCCATAAAGTGGAACAATATGTACCTGAAAGACTCTAGTCACTATACTGCATCATCAAACTTAATCGGTTAACGCAAACTTATTATGTAATAACACCAGAGTACTAGGAGGGAACAATGCATGAGATGATGACAGTAAGTGCTTAATACAATGCCTCACACAAAGTTGCTTCTAAATAAATAATTACAAGCAAAATATAAAACTTGGAAAATGCAATAATGTAGATGTTAAACTAAAATTTGAAAGATTGAACAGTTGAATACCCTCCACCACCCTAATCAAGATATAGAACATTTCCCTCACTCCAAAAAGGTCCCCCATACCCCTTTCCAACAAATTACCTGTCTCTTCAAGACGACCACATGTAGGCAGCATGACCTCCCAGATATCCACGCCCTAATGTCTGGAACCTGTGAATATGTTACCTTACATGGCAAAAGATACTTTAAAGACGTTGAGATGGGGAGACTATCCTGGATTACCTAGGTGGGCCCAATGTAACCTCATGAGTCCTTAAACGTAGAAGAGGAAGACAAAGAGCAAGTCAGAGAGATACAGCGGTAGAAGAGGCAGCAGAGATTTGAGCCATGAAAACCATGTGACCTGCTATTGTTAGCCTTGAAGACACAGGAAGAGGGGGCACAGGCAAAGGAATGCAGGTGGCCTCTAGAAGTTGGGAACGCAGCAAGCAAACAGGGACCAGAGTCCTACCCCCCTAAGGACTAAATTCAGCCAACAACCTGAATAATCAGGGAAACAAGTTTTCCCCTAGAGCCTCCAAAATGAAAAGCAGCCCTGCTGACACCTTGGGTTTAGTCCAGGGAGACCCACTGGGGACTTATGACCTACAGAACTGAAAAATAATAAATTTGTGTTAAGCCAAAAACAACAGTAAATTACCAAACAGAAAATATAACAAAAGAACAGACAAATCCCATCAGTAAGGCTTTTTCCCTGGGAAACTGGTTAGGCAGGGGCATGACCTAGCAAAAGTTTACACTTTTTTTTTTTTTTTTTTTTTTTTTTTTTTGAGAGGGAGTCTCGCTCTGTAGTCCAGGCTGAGAGTGCAGCAGCGCGATCTCGGCTCACTGCAAGCTCCGCCTCCTGAGTAGCTGAGACCACAGGCGCCCACCACAATGCCTGGCCTTTTTTTTTTTTTTTTTTTTAAGTAGTAGAGACGGGGTTTCACCTTGTTAGCCAGGATGGTCTCGATCTCCTGACCTCGTGATCTGCCTGCCTTGGCCTCCCAAAGTGCTGGGATTACAGGCATCAGCCACCACACTTGGCTGGGTTTACTTCTGAGGTTTGGGTAAGGAACCTAAAACCTCTGGTATGTCCAGAAAAACGTGATGGATTTATACCAAAGGATATACCTATCGAATGTTTAATAAAACTAATCTTGGAATTCTGTATGTGCAAAAATTAGTATAGAAACTGTGCTAAGCAGGTGTCTGTTTACTCAAGGCTGGGTATGCTTCTACAATGTGGCTTCTAGCACAGCCTTTCTCATCTGTCTATTAATGGAAGTTTCCTTCCAGTCATGGGAGAGTGGCTCTCATGCCCAGCTCTGACCCTCCTCTCTTCCCCTCCCCTGTATTCTGAAAAGCTCCTGCTCGGCATGAAGTCGGAGGGAGAAAGGAAGTTCCCAGAGAATGGGACTTCTTACATGCAGGACTCATAATATAAATGTGTGTTTCCATTAGGTGCCTTGAACCCAGATCGAGAGACGACGGCTATGTGGCTCAAGCTAGTGGATTTCCAATTCCCCTCTTGCACAACATGCAGTCCATAGGATCAGCTATGAGCCAGCATTGATGGAACAGGGAAAGTGCCTGCTACTTCAGCAGGTGAGTCCTAGAATGATGGGGAACCCCTGGTATGCAGTGTGTTTTCACTGTCCCAAAACTATCCAGGTATCTCAGCCCATTGAGAAACCTCAATTTCTGGGTTGCTTACCTCAGCAACTAACAGGGGCCGTAAAGCAGTTGATTCTGTTCGTTGCAACTTTTTTTCAAAAATGTGTATGGATTGTTTTTCTCTTCCTAAGAGCTAAATTAACACTGTAGTGTTTTTTTCTGTTATATGATCCCTTTTCAGCAAGGTCAATAAACATTTATTAAGAGTTGTGGTCAGGTGCGGTAGCTCACATCTGTAATCCCAGCATTTTGGGAGGCTGGTGGATCACTTGAGGCCAGGAGTTCAAGACCATCCTAGGGAACACGGCGAAACCTCATTTCTACTAAAAATACAAAAATTAGCTGGGCATGGTGGTGCACGCCTGTAATCTCAGCTACTTGAGAGGCTGAGGCACAAGAATTGCTTGAACCTGGTAGGCGGAGGTTGTAGTGAGCCGAGATCGTGCCACTGCACTCCAGCCTGGTGACATAGTGAGACTGTCTCAAAAAGAAAAAAAAAATTGTGTGTGTGTAACAATAAAAACAGGTAGCAGTCAATGAGTTATCGTTCTAGGACTGTTTCTACCCCCTTTACAAATATAAATCACTGATTGCAACAACTCTGTGATAGAGTATTCCTATTTTACAGATAAGGAAACTGAGACATGGGGAGATGAAATGGTTTCCCTGAGAGTCATAGGGCCAGAAAGTAGGTAAGCTAGGATTAGAATCCGGGTTGGCCTGATTCCACAAGTCCTAGTCTGGACCAGCAAGATAAAATTTAACAAATTATGTAGAAGCTATCATGGTAGACCAGGTTGAATTCATTTAGGGCCACTCATCAGGTTGGGAGCAGTGTGTACTAAGGAGTTTTGAAGGGACTGAGATGCAAGTTTGGATTCAGCATAAATTACCTGACATTTGAGCCCAGGCTTCCCCACCATAAAGTTGTGATAATGGTATACTTGCTTTGCAAGGTAATCACAATGGTTAAATTTAACCTGTACAATGGTTGGTGTAGAGTAAGTTGTAGCCACTATATTGTTATTTCATGATATGTCCAGATATAACTTTTATAATTAACCCACCAAGAGCCTTAAGCAGTGTTGTTTAGACTGGAGTTTGGGGCTCCCTAGGATTCTATTAATATATTCTTGGGGGATCTGCAAGTTCTTAAGTTTGAAAAAGTGAGCTAGAGCATTCTTGTACTGTGGACACACACAGTTACTTCCACTGATTTCTGAAGCAAAAATAGGGTGGCAGGAAATAGTACCCACTTAGAAAAATAATGAGTTCTCTTACACAACAGCTATATGTACTACTCACACCTGCGTAAATAACGGAACACAAGATGGAGAGAAAAGTCACCAGAGGAAACATAGCCCACACAGGGAGGCTCAAGGCAAATATTCCACATGTAGATGCAACATGGATAATGCCCCTGACACCACGTGTGGTGCTTCATGACAGGACATGAGAAGGTTCTGGAGAGCTGAATACATATAGCCTCTCACCTCCCTGGCTGGCAATGTAAGCTATACTTTCCGACTAAGGATCATCGCTGGGGCTTTCGAAACAGAACAATGGGAAACAAGGTACCCTCATCTCCTTTCCAAAAGAAGGTAAATGTGCTTACTCAGAAATGTACTGCAGAAATGCCAACATCGTGACAGTTTCTTATATATACATTTATATATACTTTTTACATTTCCTGCTTTGTAAAAATAAAGGATAAGGAAGAAGAATCAATGAATATTTTCCCAGTGGAAGGGATGGAATTAAAACATCTGAAATAAAAAATTAACATTGCTATCTTTAAATGAATTTCTTTGCTAGAGACTGTCTAGCTTTAAAAAAATTCTAGATAAAGTCTCTACGGGAGCCTGAATGTAAATTAATTTGTCTTTCGTCAGATGATTGGAAACAGAAATGCAAGAAAGCTGACGAAGACCATAATTTTTAAAAGCTTAGCCAAATTGGCTAAAGTCTGAATTTCACAATAGTTTATATTTTTCTTCAGGTGGGATCATCCTGGCAATGCACGAATGTGCCATCTCGTTCACAGGGAAGCTCCACTCTCCCACTAGACATGCCTGTGGGTGAGTGATTCTGGTGTTGCTGTCCAGCTACCTCTGCCTTGAGGTCTAACCTAGCCTGCCTTTCCCCTTCCCCCACATTTTTGGGGAAATCATTAACCCGTGCTCAGTAAGACCTTCCAGCTCCTCACCATGGGACAAGCTGCACGGAGCTTTCACGTGAGAAGCAGTATGATAGCAAACCTGGATCTGCAATTCCCAGGGGCTGCCCTCATGGAATTTTAATTGGGGGCTATTTGAAATTCCCTTTGGCTTTCTCACAGCCTATCACTGCCTATGAGTCATGTTACCTATTGTCAGTTCCTTAGGCCTCTTGTGTTCCTCAGTTGCTACTGTTGTGGTACAGCTTCTTGGTATCTTTTCTTTTCTTTCTTTTTTTTTTTTTTTGAGACGGAGTCTCGCTCTGTCGCCCAGGCTAGAGTGCAGTGGCGCGATCTCGGCTCACTGCAAGCTCTGCCTCCCTGGTTCACGCCATTCTCCTGCCTCAGCTTCCCCAGTACCTGGGACTACAGGCGCCCGCCACCACGCCCGGCTAATTTTTTGTATTTTTAGTAGAGACGGGGTTTCACTGTGTTAGCCAGGATGGTCTGGATCTCCTGACCTCGTGATCCGCCCGCCTCGGCCTCCCAAAGTGCTGGGATTACAGGCGTGAGCCACCGCGCCGGCCTTTTGGTATATTTTAAAAGCACTCGTCAGAAGACTTTAGGGTGAGTTTCGTGCACCCCAAATACGGTTAAATTCAGTTTCGAAGTTTCGGCTGCACTGAAAGCCACTGTCACTTTGAAGGCCTACCTGGGACCCCTAAATGCATTTACATTTTAAGTCAGAACTTCCCAAACTCTTCTTGTTTGCTGAAAATCTGTTTAACTGTTTTCACATGATGTGTTAATAAATGTCATTGTATTCACAGAGATTATTCCAAGAAGATTAAAGGTCATGCTAGCCCATTTGGATCTTATAAATCGCAAGTGTCCTTGAACTCAGGTAAATTCCTGCAAAATTGGAATGTTTCTCGAATTGCTTTGAGAAAATTTTATAACCAAAGGACACAGCTTTTTAACAAATTGTCTTTTAACTAACAATTTTTAAGGAACTTTCCAGAGGGAAACACCAGGAGGAATTCAAGCACAAGCACAGGCGCTCAGTGCACACATACACACACACAGAGAAATGAGGATCTATGAAAGTGCTTCTCTGCACTCATGAGAATGGATCACAGATAATCTGCTATCTCCAGTCTTTAAACACAGCCCTCTTCATATGAATGATATCCTCTGAAGGGCACCGCGGCCTCCGGAATTAAGGAAGCCTATAATTCTTCCAAACTACTAAAGCCCTTATCTCCTAAGAGACCTTTTCCTCAGTGCCTCACAGGAATGGCAAGATCACCACCAACAGCATGCCTTATGCAGGAATGAAGTGGCGATATATATTTTTTAAATTTTTATTAAAGTTCTAGGGTACATGTTCACAATGTGCAGGTTTGTTACATGTGTATACATGTGCCATGTTGGTATGCTGCACCCATTAACTCGTCATTTACATTAGGTATATCTTGTAATGCTATCCCTCCCCTCCCCCAAGTGGTGATATTTTAAAAATCATCTTCTGAATACGGACTTTGTGCCCTACACTTCTCGTGTGTCATCTCAGTTGTCTCTACCTCACAGTCCTTTGAGGGAGGAATATATATTCCCAATGTTACACACTTCCGAATTCCTTTTCTTGCTTTTTCTCTATAGCGCTTTCACTTTCTAATATATAATTATTTGTTTTATTGGACTGTCCTCATTAGCATGTAAACTTCAGTGAGGCAGGCTATTCTTGTCTGTTTATTCTCTGCTGCTTTCCTGGAATCTAGAATAAATGCGTCAATGAATGAATGAAGTGAGGCCCAGACGACCAGTGAGTGACAGAGGTTTGAACCCAGGCTTATGTGCTGTGCTGATGCACTAGATAAGCAATGGCACTTGATGGCACTTGTGAAGATTAGGATCTATGGCATATTCTAAGGGAGAGAGAAGACGCAACATTTAGTGAATGGTTGACTGATGAAGAGTTGCGTGCAAAGAAAACCACTGGTGTGTAAAAGGAGCAGGGAAAGTAGCCTAACTTTTGATCTTTGACCTCTGTAGGGAGGATGCAACAAAAAACGTGAGGCTGGAGAAAGCCTGGAGGTCAAAATTCAAAATGCTTCCCTTGAGATTCTTCATATGTGGGCAGGGAATACCACGTGGAGGTGAGTATAGTGTCCACAACACTATATATAATCCGTGCATGTGGGCATCCTTAAGAGTCTGTAAAGGGTTTGGCCTCACGTCTTGACACTCTCTGTTGCTACTGTGTGACCTTGGGCAAATTCCTTAATCTTTGTAAATGGGGATAATTTACGTCTTTTCTGAAGACTGTCCGAAATTATGCACGTAAACACAGAAACAAGACGATACCACCCATCGTGTAGTAAGTGCCTAATAGGCATTGTTATATCAGTTTGCTGTGACTGGAGAACACAGTGTTTCAAAGGTAACCAGTAGGGAGAAGTCAGAAATGTAGCTGGGTCCATTCTGATAATCGTGCTAAAGGATTTTGATCCTGGTCTACGATAACACCTCCTTTACTTGACAGCTGAATTGGAACGGATTAAATCGGTTAGGGTAGTACCTCAGAGGGCTTTCCTGGAGATGAGCGAGTGCAGGCGGGCTGTCAAGCAAGCCTCAAGGGGCATCTGTGGGATGCCCAAACCGTGCCCCCAAACCGAGGCCTTTTCACAGATCCTCAATTCAGAAGCATAAAAAATTAATTCCAACAGCTAATAGCACCCCACCATCACTTTAGGACATTTCACCGTACCCATTTTGTTGTCACAGGGACCCTATGAAGCAGATAGTTTTATCTTCATTATAAAGAAGACTGCAACTTAGAACAACTAAATGATTTAACTAAGGGCGCATACCTAGGAAGAAGCGGGGGACATAATGCAAACGAGGGCCGTCCCACTCCAGAAGCCCTTTTCTCAGCATTTCTAGGACTGAGCGGTCAGAACGCCACTTAGCCAATGCGCCAGGAAAGATCGGCATTCCCTTGGCAATAGAGTTCAGAAGCATGGGTAAAAACTACAGTTTCGATGTATCCTCTCGAATCTATAGTCATAGTCAGGTAGCTGCGTATTAAAACAGGCAAAGTGGAAACCCAACTTCCCTCCCTTTCTCTTCTGTTGGAGGTGCTGCGCTGAATCTCCAACAGGTTTGCTCTTCTCAGTTCCTCTGCAGGGCATCCTGCCTCTTCCCTCCCTGTCCCCAGGTCCCAATGACTGAAACGTCTCGGGGTGGGAACTTCTGTGACAGATCGGGGAGGATAGGGGGAGTCAACTCCAGCGCAGGCCTCCCACGGCTGAAACTAAAAGATACCCAGTGAAATATAGGAGTTTTGTTCCAAAGGCTGCCCAAAAATGGTGCGGAGAAGAGCTCGGCAATCCCCACCTTCGTCGAACACGCTCCTCCAGGGGCGGCCTGCCTGCAGCAGAGCTCCAAAATTGGCAACCTGGGCCTCGCAGCCGCCTTTTTTTAGCCTACATTTCCCAAACCAGGGAAGAAGCGGGTAACTAAAAATGCAAATTGCAGCGGGGGTGTCAGCAGGCATGCCCGTGGGTGCGGGGCGTCGGGCGAAGGGAGACCCCGCGACCTTAGGCGCCCTCGCGGTGTTCACGGTGGGCGCAAAGCGCAGCGAGGGACGCTCCCCAAAGCCGCACCCCGCCGGGCGGCTGCCCCCGCTTCCGCCTCTCAGGCATCGGCGGGACAAAGCGCGGCCTCTTTTCCGCCGGGGTTTAGGGAGGGGAGGCCGGATTAGGGCCCGCGCCTTCCGGCCGTGGCCCTCCCGCGCCGAGCTGGCCGCACACAGGTGGTTTTCCGCTCGGGAGGGGCAGGCCTCGGCACTTTTATATAACAATAGAGCTCTGCGCGCCGGGAACGCGCCTCCCCGCCGCCGCGGCCCCCACCCGGCCACGCCTCCATCCGGCTTCCAGTCCGTCCGCCCCGCGGCGCCTGGGCCGAGGGCTGCTCACTGGCCTGGCCGGCACCTCCCCAAAGTTACCTGCTGGCTCTGCAGGGCGGTAGAGACGTTCCCCTCGACTCCTTGGGAGCCAGGAGCCAGGGGGGTCCAGGCAGGCACTCGTCCTTGCTCCCCCCACCCGCCCCACATCTTTATGGAACCGGGAGTCCCGCGCTCAGCCCAGTACCCGTCCACTGCATCGCGCACAACCCCCTGCCCGCCAAGCGGGGAGACGGGGACAGCGGGGCGGTGGCAGGGAGCGCAGCGCGCAGGCGCGACTAGTGCTCCCCAGAGTGCCCGGCGCTGGACAAAGGGAGGAGGCGGCGGCAGGAGAGGGCTGGGGAGGCCCCCTCTGACATGCCTCCCTGCCAACTAACCAATCGTCAAGCCCCCCTGCTGAGGCCCCGCAGCCTGCAGGCCTTCCCCACTCCTCGCCCATGGCGGGGACTGCCGGCCTGTCCCGGCGCGTCCCAGCACACCTCGCCCAGGCAGCCCCGCCAGACCGGCTCCTCCGTCAGAAGCCGAGCTCCTTGCCCAGAAATCATTAACGAGCGCGACCCCCCAGCAGGCGACGGTGGTGATGGGGTGGGGGGAGAGATTTAGATCCCCGGAACAATGGCTTGTAACTCCCCACGCCGCTGGAGCGGAATACAGTAAAAGCACTGGACTGACCTAAGAGTTTGTTTCTGCACTCTACATTGTTTTAAAGAAAATAAAATGTTACTTTAAGAAAAAAGGTTTCCTTCTGATTTTCTGGACAACCAGACGTTTGTTTGTTTGCTTTAAAATGTTTCAACAAAATCCTGGTTTGTTTCGAAATATGTTGGATTAGCATTTAACACCTCATCGGTCACTAAAGCCCAGTCAGTTCACCAGCCCCAACACAGCCTCGGCTAAAAGAACATCAGAGCAAACAGAGCTAGGCCTTTAAAACTGGCAAACAAATGCCACACACCGCCTAAAGAAGGGGGGTTGGGGGAGGGGAGGGTTAAGGCGAACTTGGGTCCAAATGAGTTTGAAGAGAATACAAAGAACAAAAAGTCAGCACAAGTTTTCCTAAAGCTAGCTCGCGAACGCTAGCGTCGCGAACAAGGGCTTTTGTGCATGCTAATTGCGCCATTGGTGCGCAAAAGTTCCGACGCGAAGTGTGAACTCTCAACAGAAGGAAACATGAGACAACTGAAGTGCCCTGGTTTATGTGCCCTGCTCCTCCTCCGCTGCCGCCTCCCCTTCTTTCTCCTTCCTCCCGCCGAGCCCGCTGTTGCAGCTTGTTTGCACTGGGGCTTATCCGGAGCGGAAATTCCTTTCCGTTTTTGTGAATGACAAACTCATTAACAATTCATCAACACAACCTGTTCCAGCCGGCCCGTCCCCACGGCAACAGCCCCTTCCGCAGCACGCTCATTGGCTGGCCCGGAGAATGTATCCATTGAGACGCTCGCTGTTTGTATCCATTGAGGAGCTGCCTCGCGCAGGGGGTGTGCGAGGCTGAGTCCAAGGGATAGTGAGCAAATCGAGTCTTAAATAATCCGGGGAGAAAGACGCCCGGGTAGATTTGAGGTGCAGACTTGGCGGGAGGGATTAGGAACCGCTAGACTTTTTTTCCTCCCCTCTCAGTAGAACTGAGTCCGAATTAATTGGATTTCATTCACTGGGGAGGAACAAAAACTGTCTGGGCAGCTTCATTGAGAGATTCATTGACACTAACAGCCAGCGGCTGCAGCTGGGTGCAGAAAGAACCTCCGGCTTTACTTCTGTCTCGTCTTCCCCAACCGCTAGCCTCGGCTTGGGTTAGGCGAGGCGGAATTAAACCCCGCTCCGAGAGCGGCAGCTTCACGCGCAGCGCGCTCGGCCTATGCCTGCCCCGAGGGGCGTCTGGTAGGCACCCCGCCCTCTCCCGCAGCTCGACCCCCATGATAGATACGCTCAGACCCGTGCCCTTCGCGTCGGAAATGGCGATCAGCAAGACGGTGGCGTGGCTCAACGAGCAGCTGGAGCTG